CAATACTTAGAGGGAGGTGAATAGGTATTTTATGCTAAATTAAAAATATTTTACGAATTAAACAACAACTACTCACTTTTTAATTCTAATCTAGATGATTAAACATGTAAATCATTTTAGCCCTAAATTTGAATACCACAGTTTATGTGATCAATCAATAAACAATAACGAAAGCAGTAAATTAACACCGGAATGATCACGGAAAAACCAAACTGGGAAAAACTACGGGCACTTTGTCAATCAACAATCCACTATAAACGATATGTAACTTACAGTCTATCAGTTTAGACGACGACACGTACTAGCTGATCTCCTGACTGCAATTCCAATAGCTTTCCTAAATTCTTTGCTCCTGCACCACTCCCAACTGAAATTTCCAAAGCTCACCTGGATTCTGCTCTCCTGCGGCAACTCCTAACTTTGTGAAATCTTTTATCTCCTGCGGATCCATGAAGAACACCGTGTTCTTCACAGACTGAAACTCCAGTTGAACTTCCTCAATCTTCAGAACTCTGATCGGATGTAGAAGAAAAGCAAGTTGGTAGTTGGATTATGGAATCTATGTTTTTCTCACGGATGTAGCTCTCTCTCAATGTTCAACCTCATTAATTTTTGTACAAAAAGGTTTTTGTATATATATGTAGGTTACAAAAACGAATGGTCAAGGAAAAAGTCTTTAAAACGCGAAATAAAAATTTCTCGAATAAAGCTGTCGCTCGAACGAGGGTTCAGTGACAGTTGAGCGACAGACTGTCGCTCAAGCGAAGGAAGGGCGACAGTCCAGCGACGATATTACTGTTTTTGTAGCTCGAGCCAAATCTTGGTGACAATCTAGCTAAAATCCACGCCGTTTTCCTCCTTTTGCCATTCTCGAACCCTAGACCTAATAACTCTATTTTCAACATATTTGCACATTACTCCTTGACTTTTTAAACATTATACAGTTCAGTTCTTTTGTTTACGGAATAGCCAATTACAAAATATCGAAAACCTAACAATATAAAAGATCTTGAAGTTGAATTATATCAAAAGAGTTGATTATACATTTTATGGAAAGGTGGAAAAGTATAAAAATCATTGAGGATCAATGAAAATTCTAAAAGAATATCAACATTGTTTCAAAATTACGTGCAACGAATGTATTAGTAACGAGTACAATGAAAGGGATATGAGTAGAGATCGCTAAACTTAGGTTGAATTTATTTCATCAAAACTAATTTACACAACAAAATTATCAGTTATCCAACTAGATCCTAGTCAATTCTCGATTATGGGTGATTATTAATTATGTCTATTTGTTAAATAACTCCATGTAAAAATAAAATTCAATTACTGATAATTCAAATTGAGAACAAGATTGTATTATTGTCATCAATATGTGGGTTCGTGATAAAAATAAATAGTACAACCACTTGTGAAGTGGTCTACACTCACAATAAAAACCTAGTTCACACTTTCTGCTAAAAACAGTTTAAGACAATGAAGTAACCCACACAGTGTTGCAAAATTCTTAAATTTATTATATGATAATAAAGTTGGTTGTTGAGTCCATTACTCTTGGCCATTATTTGACAAGATTTATAAATTATTTATCTATGGTTGAACTTTATTTTCGATCATGCATTTTTATAAGTATTGTTCACTTATTCTACTCTTGTATTTATCTATTTATAATATGTGGAAATTACACAAAATCAGAATTTTAAAATTTCAATTTCAAATTTCAGATATAAACTTTATTTATACAAAAATCAGATATTAATTCATCTCTATCTAAATTATAATCACCCAAACCCTAAAAATCCAAAATCATTCATCATATCTCTCTCTCTCTCTCCCTCCCTCCCCTTCCCCTTCCCCTCGCAAGGCCGTTGTCGAAGACATCCGAGCTGTCGCTGTAAGCAACGAGCAACACTCCCTGTGATAGCCGAGCGGCACTGTTGTGAACGATAGCGTTGCAATCTGTCTTCGTCTTTTTTTTCTTTTTTTTTGATGAGGTGTGCGGTGATTTTCGATCTGGAGGGTTTTTTTTCTAGTTGTTGACGTGGTGGTCGGTGACGACGACGGAGATGATGGTAGGGTCGGGTGTTTTTTCTGGGTTGTAGGATGGGGGGTGGTGGTGGTGGAGGTCCTGTCGTTTTGGTGTTGGTGGTGTAGATGTTGGGTGCAGCATGTTGTGGTCGACGATGGTAGAGTGTAGATGGTGGTGGTCACGATGGTGGTTGCGTTGACAGTAATGGATTTGAGGAAGTGGTGGTTGTGTTGGTAGAGGTAATATAGGCGATGTTGGTGAGGTTTCGGGGATGGTTCGAGGTGGTAGTGGATGTGGTTTTGTTGGTGGTGACGAAGGCGGCGACGGCGATGGTGGTGGCGACGATAATAGGTTTGTTACGATGGTGGTCAAGTGGCATGACGATGTGGTGGTGTTTTTTCTGCGATGTGTTGATTAGTTTGAGGTGGTTGTGTTACAGTCGGGAGGTGGTGGTGGTGGTTCGACGACGAAGTGGCGGTGATGCTGCTGGAGAGAGTGGTGCGGTGGTGGTAGTCACAAGTATTGGTTGTGGTCACAGATTATTTGGTTGATTGTGACCATTAAATTAGTTAATCTGTGACCAATAAACAATATGTGATTGATGAAAAAGATAAATTGTGACCAAGAAATAATGTGTGACCTATAAAAAATTTAATTTGTGATCGAAAAATAAATTGTGACATATAAATTTTTTTATTTGTGGTCGATGAACAAATTGTGGCTGTAAAATAATTTGTAACATATAAAATTTCTGTTTGTGACCAAAATATAATATGTGATTCATTAAATTGATAGATTTTTGACCGATAAATAAATTGTGATGTATAAATTTCTTATTTGCGATTAATGAACAAATTGTGACCATAAAATAATTTATGACATATAAAAATTGTAATTTGTGATCAATTAATAATATGTGACCAATTATATGGAATTTGTAATCAAATTATATGGAATTGTGACATTAATATATTTAATTAATAAAATATATATTTAATTTATTTATTTATAAATAAAATTTGAAAAAATCTGAGATTTGAAATTTTAAACATTGATCTCTTAAATTTGAAATTGGTGAAACTGAACCTCTTAGTTATGTAATCTTCCCTTATAAAATTCTTCGAAACGAAGGCTTAATCAATTGAATCAAGACTAATGCCTGGGCTAACTCAAGTGGACATCGACTGGGTCAAATAGAACGTTAATGAACGATCCAAAGGCCAGCCTAGCCCATAATCTAGCCCTCTTGCATCTAGTAACATGTCCAGTCTTGTTAGTCTTGGAAAGAAAGGATTGGGCCAATTCAGTGTATAAATTCTGCGTTTTAGTACTAAAATCCATTACATTTTTTACAAATTGGGAAAAGTTGGATAAAAATAAAATCTCTCTCTAAATCTTTGTTTAAATTTAATAATTCAATGAATTAGTGTCCATTTAACAAGACTTTCGTAAATTTAAAAGTTATTTTTAAACTGATTTTGAACGTGTTTGAATTATTTTTAAAGTTTTTTATTTGGTTAGAAGAGATGAATCTTTAATTTAGATTTCTCAAAAAATTCTTTTATAAGAAATAAATTTAAAAGCAAAAGTCTGGTCACGTATAATGGTGGTCCCTCGATGAACCACGGGCATGCATAGAAAACAGGTAAAGGCAGTTACAAATTGCACGCTATTCTATAAATTATGTTGAGTTCCAAAACATGCATTCACATCAATTAAGCTACTCAAACAGGGACAGTGGACTGAATTGGGTGACAAGTGTCAGCACTTGTGTGGCTCTTTTTTTTTTTTTTTTCAAATTGTCCAATAAATATTTGACACGTGCCCCGATGTTTAAATCCCGTCAAATGCACATGTTGTGTAGCAAGATTCAAAAAAAGTTTAATGCAAATATGCATCACTTCCAAAATCCACTCCCTATTTTTAATAGAGTGGGCAAATGTGTGTTGCCAAGGCATGGCCTCATTCACTCCCAGCTGAGCTGCCTCCATCCATAGGCTTATTTCTTTTTGTACCTTTCTATCATTAAGATTTTTCTTGTCATATTAAGTACTCTTTTGTTATGACTTTTATTTTTGTTTATGCTTTTATAGAAGAGGTTCTTGAAGACGCTATCTCACGTCCACTTTTTTTAAAAGTTCTTCTAGACAGACAAAATACTTTTCAAAAGTCTTAGCAAAAGGCCATGAATGAAACTGGGAAGTATGGTATTGATCACAACTACGCTTGTTCTAAATTTTTACGTAACCTTCATAAATAAGAGACGCACTTTTAGAATATACAGCCCCCGTTTGTTTCTCATTTTTCATTCATAAAAATAAAAAATATGATCGTTATCCATCACATCAAGTCATCAATTTTGAATTTCTATCTCTTGTGTGTGACCCAATAACGACTATATTTTTCATTTTCATTCTATAATAATGAGAATCAAACGGGCCAGCAATCTTGAGCTTTCAAGTGACATATTAATGGGAAATGTGGTACTTTCTTAACTCCATCGAGAAATTCCAATTCTATTTTGGCCAATATACTTTACTTACATAAAAATTTGTCCACATAGTGATAAAACTATAAATTCCAACCCAAATTGGACAAAATACCTTTTGACGAAACACAAATTGAATGGGCCGGGCTGTACTTGACCCTTTCATTTAACTCCATTCATTTATGCTTATCTCAACTTCTCAAGTTCTCAACCACTCTTCCAATCATTTCATATAGGATTAAAAACATTTGTGATTGATCAATTATTTAGAACCCTGTTATCAAAATTTGTGAAATTAACGCATCCTCTGCCCTGTTGACATAGACTCATTTTGACCCTCTCTAAATACTGTGTCCTAGATAGAGAAAGAGGAGAGGCAGCAAGCTGTCTGTTAGTGCTTTTTCCTGTTTCCAGTTCTGTTCTGTTTTGAGTTTTCTGACTCTGCAACAGAGTTCTTCAGAAAAAAAAAAGTACTTTACAATGAGATACATACGTACAGCCAATCTGAAGAGGCTGTTTTCTTCGAAAAGACAAAGTTCTGATGAAGAAATAAGTAGAGAATGTGATTACAATTCAGAAGAAAATAAGTCCACCTCAGGCACTGCTCCACCACCAGCAGAAAATCTTCGAAAACCCACATGGAAATGCTTTTCCTATGAAGAAATATTTGCTGCCACAAATGGTTTTAACTCAGGTTCATTCTCTTTTTCCGTTTTCTTTCTTGAATTTTTTAATTTTTTTGTTCATTGCAATTTTGGGTTTTGACTCTTATGTTTTGTTCTTCTGTTGTGTGTGTGTGTGTATATCAGACAACGTGGTTGGGAAAGGAGGGTTTGCAGAGGTATACAGAGGAGTGTTAGAAGATGGACAGGCAATTGCTGTCAAAACATTGTCAAAAATTGCTAATGATGAGAGAAAAGAAAAGGAATTCTTGACAGAAATTGGAACTTTAGGGCACGTTTGCCACCCAAATGTAACAGCATTACTGGGATGTTGTGTTGATAATGGCCTTTATCTCATTTTCCAATTTTCCTCCAAAGGCTCTGTTGCTTCTCTACTCCATGGTATGCCCAAAAGAATTTTTGCTCTTTTAATTGTTGGGTTTCAATGATATTTTTCAATATTTATATTTCATTTTATTTTCTTGTTCAGATGAGAAATTGACTGTAGACTGGAAAACAAGACACAAAATTGCAGTTGGAACTGCTAGAGGCTTACATTACTTGCACAAGAGTTGTCCAAGAAGAATAATTCATAGAGATATTAAGGCTTCAAATGTTTTATTAACAGCTGATTTTGAACCCCAGGTGAAGTAGAGAAAGTTGTAATTGGACTAACACCAATATTTGACGTACTATATATTAATTATGTAGTTTGGTTTCTTGTTGTAATCTGAACAGATATCTGATTTTGGGTTGGCTAAATGGCTTCCATCACAATGGACTCATCACTCAATTGCTCCTATAGAAGGAACATTTGGGTACATAACTCCCTTCTAGTTCCTACCTGTACCTGATGAAAGTATTGATTGCTTGAGTGTATAATTGTCTTATAATTGATAATTTGTGCAGACATTTAGCGCCAGAGTATTTTATGCATGGTGTCGTAGACGAGAAGACAGATGTGTTTGCTTTTGGAGTCCTTCTACTCGAGATTATTTCTGGAAAGAAACCAGTGGATGGTTCTCATCAGAGCTTGCATAGCTGGGTAATGATGAATTCTATAATCAAGCATTATTTTGAATCATACGACAGACTTTACTGAGTTTTCACCATCATTAACACAACAGGCAAAACCAATATTAAACATAGGAGAATTCAAAGAGTTAATTGATCCGAGGCTTGGAAATGAATATGATGCAGCACATCTTAGTCGACTTGCATTTGCAGGCTCTCTCTGCATTCGAGATTCTCCTATTTGGCGCCCGTCCATGAGTGAGGTTACTATTTTCTGTAATATACTTTCAAATAATACTCTTACGTGCTTTCTTTTGAGGTTAGATATTATTCACATTGTCCTTATTAGATATCCTGCTAGGACTGGTTAATGTCTTGATGTTATCAAGAAATGGAAGTATTACAGGAAGGAGGTGACCAGGGATTTTCTATTTTAGTATAACACAACAAATGAAAAAACAAGATGTGCAAGAACAAAACAAGTATTTAATCAGATTTTCATCCTTTTTCTCCTGGGATTTTTAAACTTTGATTCTTGCTTATGAATCCTGTCCACTTGTTCATTGTTTGGAGGTACAACAAATTGTTTTCAATTTCTTTACTATATGTTATTTTTTGTCTTTTCTGCAAAGAATTCTGAATCAAGCCCAAGTTGCCTCAATCTTCCATGTTATAAAATTGTCTCTTGATTTGCATGATAATTGTATGTTACCATCTCTGTTTTTTTTGTTGACAAATGTAAAGAATCCTTTGAAGTTCTTGTCATTATCTTATTTTAGTCTTCAAGTACACGCGTTTATGCAGTGATTCACCTAGACTCATGCAAGTTTTTTCTTCTCTGCTGAGTTTACGATTGCACGCCACATTAATTAATCCATTAAAACCATACTTAAATAAGAAAATTGTCATGAATTTCATACAATGTTCACTGTTGACCTGCAGTATGGCAATTAGACAGTTTATGAATGATATAAGATTAGATTTAAAATATATTAATGTTATCCTAATGGAATATATAATCTTGTGCATTGATAATTAGTCAAATTTCACATCATCATAAAAGTGGAAGTTCATGTTTTCATGATTGTCTTCTTCTTTCTTGTTATCGTGCTTCACTCCTTTGCGTCACGCCATTCCGAATACTCGGTCGATGTTTCTATCTAACCTAACCATAATATTATTATCTATTAGACAAATAGTATATTGTCCAATTATTGTGATTAGGAAAGCTTATTGCTTGATAATAACAGCCAAAACTGTCCTTCAAGATCACCATGTTCTCCGTTCGACGTTTGTTTCGTTTTGTCGAAAAAGAAAAAGAACAACTGGAGTGTTAGCTCATTCTTTTATCTCTATGCAACTGGTGTTTGTCTAATTATTAGTTGGGTAAGCCAAAAAATAAGATTGGAAGTGTAATGCTACAGTCGTATAAGTCCAGGCTTCCAGCACATTTATACAGTTGCATTATTTTCTAGCGTTTTTATAACTGCAACTTTGTCTATCAATTTTGGACACATTCTAGATACCATCACCAGCAAGTATATGCGATTTCCCAAATCAGTTTTAAGTATAGTAAATTTTAATTTTTTTTTTATGTTGACAGGTATTGGATTTAATCTTAATGGAAGAAGAAATTGACAAGGAAAAGTGGAAAATGCCTGAGGAAGAAGAATATCAGGAAGACTTTTGGGGTTTTGAGGATCTTGAATGTGACTATGATAGTTCCTGCTCAACCTCCTTACACGAATTAATCTCGACAACCAGTTCTTAGAACCCGAAAAACGGTTTTTCCCTCGATATACAGAATATATTTTATACGTAGATTGCAAATATATAGTAGGCAACTCTACAAGTACTTAATCTTTGTATATATAATTTTCGTAAAAAAAATTCTATCTCGACTAGTAAATTGATAAGCGTGTACAGTCGAGTCGAGTCGTTTGCAACAAGTGGTCTGGCTATGCCAACCTATGGTATCAGCTCTAAGGATAAACGAATGCTTTGTATGGACAAAAATCATCCAATTCCAATAATTATAAGACATACCTTGTGAACTACTCATCGAGAATGGGTCCTGCAATGACATGAATATTTTTGGGAATAAATTGCAACATTTTCAAACTTTGCCAGTTTATTTACTAAATCCAAAGAGTGGAAATTAATTATAAAATGATGAAGTTTCTCTCTCTAAAACTAGTGGGGTTTTATTTTATTTACTCAATACTAGACAATAATTTTTTTTTTCTATTTTAATCTTAGTGTTTTGCGACAACTTTATCTACAAGAGAGGAATAATTCCGTATAGAGAATTCTTTTGAAAGAGATAAAACTGATCAAATTACTATACATCCGTGAGTGAGTATTCCCCTGTTCGGATTGTACCTTTTTCTTTTTTTTCTTTTTAAATCAAAAGTCTCGTACGTACAAATTTCGAAAATTGGTATCTGCAAGACTTGTTCCCCTATATTTTTTTTTTTTTTTGTCAAATTCTCATATTAATTGTTGATGGCAAAAAATGACGTTTCTTTTCTTGATTAACTTATAGAAATTTGAACATAACAACAATGTTATATTTGCTTAAATATAGACAGATTAAGGGTGTAATATTGCTAAAATTTGCATATTAGTTGCATAGAGAGTTTTCTAGGGGCTTGCAAAATTTTTACTAGCATCTCATCCCTTTATATAGGCCGCCGGACACGCGCTTGCCACTCTATTCATGTCAAGCTGCAGTATTTGATCCAGGTCTTTATGCCACTGTCCATCTGTAAGGGATTTGATTGCTAGAGAGTTCGATACAACAACGTCATCATGATACCTAGACCTTAGACTTGTACCTTAGGTCACCATACCTTCTTCCTAATTGGTGAGTTTGGGTAACGTTGTTAGAGGGAGAGCATTTTCTTTGTCATGTTACAGTGATGTTTCAATATCATGTCTCTCATGGTCCGACTCTAACTTGTGTCGACATTCTAACCTAACCTATCTAGTCCTTCGAAAAATGGCTCATTTGACCAAATCAAAGTGGACCCTTAATCTTACTTGGATTTCACATCGACCGCTAAATTAACCGTTTCACCTAAACGCTTAAGTTATCACATCTCAGAAGGACACTAAATTATACTCGAAGTCAACTGCATGAATATTTATTCGACTGTGTACATTATATATGTATATATATACAGGCATAACAAAATGCATGCTGAGGGTAAAAATATGACAAGTCAATGAAAGTATAGATTTACAGGGACACGGTGAGAACAGCTGGCTCCTTGGTAGGGTTGACAAGGCCATTTCAACTACCAGAGGACTGCAACTTGATGACACAGTATAATATTGGTGGCCAAAAACAAAATTAATGTCGTAAACAATCCACAATCTTACATTCGACATGTATTATAATTTCCCATGTTCATAAATTCTGTACACAATTATTTATTTATTTATTATTATTATTATTATTTTTGGCAGTAATATATCATAGTGTTAAATTCATGGGAGCATATGCATGGCAGTTGATGAACAGTTAAGTATTGTCCCTCCTTTTTATGATGGATTCAGTACTTAAATTAAATACACCAAATGCCACTTAATACAAAGGTAAATATAAGTTAGTTGAAGTTCCCAAGGAAAAAAAACAAGAAAATTAGGTCACTTAAAAGCTTCTATTTTTCTTATATTAATTATAGAATTATATGATTACTTTGGTAGAAGGTTGTTTTAAGTTGTTAAGAATGAATCTAGAAGGGTTGGATCAAGTTTCTCGTAATAGATTTGAACTTCATATGCACATCAATGATTAATTCATGATCATTTTCGTGTAACAAAAGAAGATACTGCAACCGCCACAGCCCATATTTCACGCAAAACTTCATAATCCAAAGATTGAAATTGATGAAATTAACTTTAACTCTATCGAAACTATACAAAATCATAAGTCAAATCAATCATACGAAAACTATCTTGAAAAATTGCAAGTTTTGACGTACCGACGTATAGTTTCCTTTTATTAAAGCCCCAATTTCTGATGGATATTTAACGCACTAAAAAAGTTTTGGAAAATACTACTTGTACATCAAAATATGTACATCACGGTCTACACCTCCCTCACATGAAGTGTGGGACCCACTGAAATAATATTTTTTTATTTGAGTAGCCCACACCCCCCATGTGAGAGGGGTGTACACCGTGATGATATGTACATCACGGTCTACACCTCCCTCACTTGGAGTGTGGGACCCACTGAAATAATATTTTTTTATTTGAGTAGACCTCACCCCCCATGTGAGAGGGGTGTACACCGTGATGTACCCGTAGTAAAATCGAAAAGTTTTTCCATACAATTTTAGATAGAAGTCGTGACTTATATACAATGTTATCGCGGTAAACGATAAATGTATTAAATTGTTGAAGATTATTGTCTTTGAATCTTAGTTACTTTTTATTGAAGCTTTTCATAATGAAGCAATGCTACAACAACTAATCATACATTACAAACTACATTGTTACTTAATTGTAGCATAAGGCATATTATTATTTGCCCAAATATTATAAGTTGTTACACTTCATACAAAAAGAGGACAAGGGTTTTGTATTGTTTTTTCACTTTACCAATAATGCAATGTCAAAAATTAATATTAAAGTTCAAGATTTAACAAAAAAAATTCAGATTTTCAATGGAGAATCTTAGAGAATTTTAGAACAGAAGCCCAGGTGGAAGAAACTAAGCCGCTTGATAGAAAAAAATAGTAGCGTTCACCAGAAGGGTATCCAATTCCATAGAAAGGTCAACACCTGGTATAAAAACAAAATTAGGAGGAAATTTGCATGATTTTCTATAGATATTTTACGATACACTTGTTGATTGTCATATAATATTTAGGAAAAATAGCAACGGAGATCCTCATCGTGTAATTTGACGAGTTATCTTTTTTTAGAATTTTCCGTTTAGAAGGATTTTGACGGTATGTTTCTTAGATCCTATTTTCTGGTCAAATTTTAATGATTTGATGATTTAGTGGGCGTTTGGTAAGGATTAAAATTAGATTTTCAATAGATTGTGATAGAAGTTTTTGAAATGTATAGTTGAAAAATTGTGGAACTTATGAAATATGTGGTTAATATTGATTGTTTGAATTTGACTTAAATTAAAATCTAATTTTAATCTGAAACAAACAGGGCTCTAGTATCCTGAGTGAATCAATAATAAGATCAAATCTAATAAATATAATTATAGCTTCTTAAATAATGGTTTTTCCAAAAAAAAAATTAAAAAGCATAAATTGATTGAATGAAGTTCTATTGTCAAAAAGGTTAATTATTTTGTCTTGGTTGATTTGAAAGTTGGGATCTAAATTTTCAAAAGGTAAATAGCATGTATTCATTGGAAAATAATAATAATAATAATAATAATAATAATAATAATAATATATCTTGTTGGCTGCAATTATGGGACCAAAAATATGTCTTTCCCGCGCCTTAGAAGCAGAGGCAGTAATCCAACTAAATTATTATTATCTTATTATAATTATAGCTGCTGCTTTATTTTTATTCCATATTTTTAATTAATTGTATATGCAAATTTTTGTGAGGAGAAAAACTTGGGTGTGGAATGATAGGAAGGATCGTTGGAGAAGTGGTATAAAGATGGGCTTAGAAGTCCATATAGATCAGGCCCATTTCTAAAGATTCACTAAAGAGACTAAGGCCCTACCCAACCTTCACGGCCCATCAAAAACTGCAAACTGTGATATTTCAATTTTCACTTGTTTAAAATAGTGGTTGTGTTATATTTACATCACAACTTACAGATTTTTTTTTTTTACAAATAAATGATATGACATATTTGACTGAATCAAAATCTCACCAACCAAATAAAAAAAGTCCCTAATTTCTTTTTTCCATTAACCCACATTATATAAGCACACCATTTAAGTTTAGAAAAGATTTTGACAGTTCTAATTCAATATACCTCATCAATCTATAAAAGAATTTGTCGATTGTAATTTATAACAAGCATTTTCCTTAATTAGAGAGTTGTGGAAGTTTTTTTTACTAGCCAATGATCTATATTTTGAAAGAGTAGAACGTAAATCAAATAGGAGATTCTCGATGAAAATTTACATCTACGATCTCGACACGAGTCTTTAGAATTTGAATTTAAACTTCTTAGTCACGGTAGTTGAGTGCTTCTCCGTGATATAATCAAATTCTTGACGCAAAAGAATAGACAATGAATCGGGGCACAAGTATGTGTGTGTGTATATATATATATAACTTAGTAAACTCAAATTATATTTTGAGTCAAGTTCTAGTATTTCCAATTCAAGTGCCACCTTCAATCAAGATTACACTCAATCGAATTGGGTACTGAAAGATCTAAGAGTAAATAAGACATGATTTTTTATTTTTACCAATTTGTCGTGCTAAAGTAAAAACTTTCACAAAGTTGTTGTGTTTAATAGAACTTGACACATTGAAAATGTAGCATGAGGTCTGAATTTGACGTACTTTAGTTTCCATCTTTGCATTGCAATACATGGTTACAATATAACTTTTCAATATGTTTAGCCTCCATTTGAGAAGAATTTATAAATAAATATAAATGAGTGATGCATAAGTAAATACTACTCCATTTCAATCGTAAGAATAGCTTCTATTAATGGTCAAGATTATTTTTCAAAAGTATTGATAGGTGAAACGTTTCCCATTTAGTTTTAAGAAAAAAATTGGAAAAATCTTGACAGCAACTGCGATGAATCTACACTGTAT